TATTATGGTCCTGGGGAAAGGGGTGTGGGGGGGGGAGGTATCTACCACATACCACTACCACACTAAAAAACCACGGTGCCCCTACAACCCAACAGCAATGCCTGTAGCGGCGAAATACCATGGTCGGAAATACCTGACAACTACCCGTACCAATAACTACCACTTATCCGTACCAGCTCCTATCATACCACCGTACCGCCGTACCACCATACTACCAACTGCCATACTACCAATCATAAACCACCATACCACCTTCTACCATGCCACCATACCACCAACTACCATACCAGCATACTACCACCCACCATACCACCACCCAACAATCACCATACTACCATGATACCAAACACCATCATACCACCAACTGCCATACCACCATGTTACCAAACACCAACCATCATACCGCCATACCACCCTCTACCATACCGCCATACCATCCTCTACCATGCCACCAACCATCATACCACCCTCCACCATACCACCCTCTACCATACCACCCTTCACCATGACACCATGCCACCAACCACCCTATCACCCTCTACCATACCACCAACCATCATACCACCATCCACCATACCCCCATACCACCCTCTACCATACCACCATACCATCCTCTACCATACCACCCTCCACCATACCATCCTCTACCATACCACCATACCACCCTCGACCATACCACGCCCGCACCATCCGCCGACGTCGCATGCCCGCCACGGCAAGATGCCTTCCACGGCCCTGCTTTATGGCAACGATGGCAACAAAACCATTTAAATGTTTCGCGGAGTCTGTGAAAGGTGGGGATGACATACTAAATATATTTTGTCTTTTTCTTCCGTTTTTTCTTTCTTCTTCTTTTGTTTCTCTTTTAGCGTTTGTCTTTTTTATTTTCGTTTTTATTTTTTTATTTTTTTTTTGTCTGTTTGTTTTGTTTTTTTTCTTGTTGTTTTTTTTGTTTCGTGTTTTTTCTTTCTCGTTCTGTTTTCTCTTTGTGTTTGTTTGTCTTTTTTTTCTTTCTTTTATATTTCTATTTAATTCTCTTTGTTCATAGTATGCTTAATTCGTGGTCTGTTGAACATATTTCTATTCTCTGCAATGTTCAGAGAAAAAAAAACATTAATCAACATTAATTAAACATTAATCAACTATATATAGCTTTATATTATTACAACCATTCGTAAAATAAGTTAGCGTCTAAATGTATTACGCACGCAGGCACACGCACACACACACATACACACACACACACACACACACACACACACAACACACACACACAACACACACACACACACACACACACACACACACACACACACACTCTTACACACACACACACACACACACACACACACACACAACAACACACACACACACACACACACACTCTTACACACACACACCACACACTACCCCCCATCCCCCCATTTCCACCTCCCCCACTCCCCACTCCCCCCACCCCACCCCACCCCACAAGCGACCCCCCCCCCCATGGCACCCGAGGAATATCAATGCCGCCTTGGGTTCTTCTGCGTGGGCTGACGGGCACCAGCTGGGGACGAACCTGTGGCCGCTGTGTGCTGACACCTTGTAATTCTGGCCTGTTCGTTGTTGTTGTTGTTGTTGTTATTACTATTCATTATTATTATTATTATTATTATTATTATATTATTGTTATTATTATTAGCTTGTTATAGTTACTGTTATTATTATTATTATTATTAGCTCGTTATAGTTACTGTTATTATTATTATTATTTTATTATTAGCTCGTTATAGTTACTGTTATTATTATTATTTTATTATTATTTATTTTATTATATATTATTATTCGTTATAGTTACTGTTATTATTATTATTATTATTTGCAGTAGCAGATTTAGCATCGTCGTCGTCATCGCCATTATCATCATTAATATGAGTTACTAGCAATAGTTGTAATAGTAGTGGTAATGGGAATATTATTAGTGATAGAAATTGTAATAGTAATAATAATGGTAGTAATAATAGTAGTAGTAGTAGTAGTGATAGCAGTAATAGTGGTAGTAGTAACAGTAATATTAATATTAATAGGAATATTAGTAGTAATAGTAATAGTAGTAGTAATAGTAATGATAACAACAATAACAATGATAGTAGTTGTAGTAGTAACAGTAATATTAATAGTAATAGGAATATTAGTAGTAATAGAAGTAGTAATAGTAATAATAACAACAATAATGATAGTAGTAGTAGTCTGTTGTATCAATATTAGCAGTAGTAGCAGCACAGCAGTATTAGTAATAATAACAATAATAATAGAAGTAATAGCAGTAATAGTAGTAGTAGCAGCTGTATATAATGTGTCGTTTGCTAGTCTCCCCCACGTCTCACAACACTTCACTCAGTCAAAACACCATTAATAGTCTCTATTTCCAAATCTTTTCGTACCGGACGGGGTCTGACACCGGGAAATTTTGTCATAGATTCGTTTCCTTCTGCATCTCTTTCTTTTTCATCAGAATTTTGGTTCACCTTTGATCAGGGGGATGTTTTAATACTAGATTCATTAATTGTTGATCTGTGCAGTGGCAGGATAATGAATTAGATATTAAAGCTTTCACTCCCTTCTTGGGAAGTTTTTCATTCAATTTTCCATTAAAATTTTCTTTTTGCTTTCAGTGTTATAATGTTCTGATCTTCCGTTGTTATATGTTATAATCTTCCTTTCGGATTTCTATTATCATTATCATTATTATTATTATTATTATTATTATATTATTATTATTATTATTCAATGTTTTGTGTGGGGTCTGTTTCAAAATTCGTGTCAATTCTCACATTGTCTTTTTACTCCTGTCTTCATCTTTTTTTCTTTATTTATTTTTGCTTTTGTCTCTCATTCCTTACATTCCATCTTTCTATATTTTTTTCTTAGATTCATCTCGTTCATCTTTTTCTGCTCAGTCTTATAAGAAGTTCTCTGCTTTCTCGATTAAGATTAAGACAGCAAATTAGTTAAGATTAGTAGTATTTTAATAGAAGTAACGATAATAGTGATAATAATAGTAGTATAATAATAATAGTATTAATAATAATAGTAATAATGATAATAATAATAATAATAATAATAATAATAATAATAATAATAGTAATAATGATAATAATATTGATGATAATAGTATCAATAATAATAGTAATAATGATAATAGTAATAATAATAGTATCAGTAATAATAAAAATAATAGCAGTAATAATAATAATAGTAATAAAAATAGTAATAATAATCTTAATAGCAGTTTTTATTAATAGTCTTAGTAATAGTAGTTTTTAACAGTACAAAAAACGGTGTAAGGCGGTTGTGACGTCATCGTTACGCAGTTGCACTTTACGAAGGCTGTGCACGCTAGCAACACTACCTTTGCACTGACAGAATCTTGTTAGCAATGGTGTTGTTGCAAACGCTTAAGTACGTATTGGTTGCAATAGATTTATCAGTGTTTTTTTATGAAATCATCAGCTGATTGATAGGCCTACATTTTTTTTTTTAACGACTTGTCTATAGTCTTCTATTTTCTTCGCCATTTTTTTTTTTTTTTTTTTTTTTTTTTTTTTTTTTTTAGCAATGGTGTTGTTCGAACGCTTAAGTACGTATTGATTGCATTAGATTTATCAGTGTTTTTTTAATGAAATCGTCATCAGCTGATTGATAGGCCTACATTTTTTAACGACTTGTCTATAGTCTTCTATTTTCTTCGCCAATTTTTTTTGTTTTGTTAGCAATGGTGTTGTTGCAAACGCTTAAGTACGTATTGATTGCATTAGATTTATCAGTGGTGTTATTTTTTTTTATGAAATCGTCATCAGCTGATTGATAGGCCTACATTTTTTAACGACTTGTCTATAGAGTCTTCTATTTTCTTCGTCAATTTTCTCCATTTTTTAAACACTATCTTATTATTAGGTTTTGTAAGCTAATTCAACCAACATGCCGTAGAACGTAAGATATAAATTTCTTATCTATTCTAGAACAACATACGAATTATTATTATTTTTAAGTTGTTACGTTACATTACAAATGTTTTTTTTAAGATAATTGAATTAAGAATAACATATAGTTTAGAAATATCGTGAGAAATCTATGGTGCTATAAATTCCATTGTTTTATGCGCAAGATTGTTCAATATCTCTTTCATAAGTATTCTTTCAACATGCTGCAATAGTGTCCCAGTATGTATTGAACAGACTGTTCCAATACCTACTTACCAGGTTGCCCCAATGTCTATCTAACAGATTGTCACCATATCTTGTTTAACAGTGTCCCAATATCTATTAAACAGACTGTCCCATTGTTTAACAGACTGTCCAGATATGTAACAGATTGTCCAAATATGTAACAGATTGTCCCAATATTTATTCAACAAACTGTCCCATTATTTATCTAACAGACTGTCACATTATTTAACAGGCTGTCCCAATATCTATCAAACAGATTGTCCCAATATCTATTCAACAAACTGCCCCATTATCTAATAAACTGTCCCGTTATCAATAAATCTTTCCTAATTCCTCCTTCTTCTCTTCCTCCTCCTCCTCCTTTTCTCCCTTTCCCCTATCCCTCGTCTTTATTGCAGTCTTGCCTCTTGCATCTTTGCCGACCTGCTGTTTGTTATTGGTCTTGTAAGCGCTGCGAGAGTCCGACGCCGAATTGATCCGAAAAGCGCGAGTTGGCAACCCCCATCCCACGCCACACTACTCGCGTAACTTCGAGTCTGCTTTATTTTTTATTTTTATTTTTTTTCTTGTCGTCTGTTGTGTTTGTTGTGGGAGTCGTTGGTTTTGTTTTTGAGGGGATTATTTATTTTCTATTGATTTAGAAAATATTTGTTGTGGAGATCGATGGGAATTTGAATAATTTTAGATTGAATTTGATGGATTTTGTTTTTTTTTTTTTTTAATCTTTTACTGAGGTTCTTTTTTATCTGGGGGTTGTTGAGGAGGGGAAAGGGGGGGTTAAGAGGAATGGGGAAGGGGGAGGGAGGGGGTGAGGAAGGAAAGGGGGGGAAGGGAGAATGTTCAGAATTGGCATCACTATATCATACCTGGTCGTGTCAAGGTCCCCCGTCACCCTTCTCGGCGAGGAAGCGTAAGGGCGAGAGTTCCGTCCGAGCGCAGGCGGAGGTGACCCTAACCGCCGGGCGCGAGGAAGTCGGGTTTGCGCGCCGTGCCCCGGGACACCACTCCCCTCCCCCACACTGTGCGCTGAATACTTACTCGCCGTGTGCGTGCGTGCGTGCGTGCGTTCCTTCTCGCGGATTAGAGCCGAAGGAATCGCCGCTCTAAGGGCGCCGTGAAGGAGTTTAAT